CGGCCTTGGCACGGCCTCCTTCCACAGGCGGAGCACGGAAGCCAAGCCTGCCTTTCTTTCTTTCCGCTAAAGGTCAGCTTTGTTCTTGCCCCTGCCCCAGTCGAGGCTTCTAGGAAAGCAACTGAGAACCAGCTCCCTGCCTGCTCCCGCGGTGTGGGCCGCCTCGCCCTCCCCGGGTGGCCTGAGGACAGGCGGCACAAGCAGCAGCTGTCCTTGTTCCCTGGAGACCCCAGTGTCCTCGTCACCTTCGGGGTAATAAAGGCCCACTCTGGGCCAGCCGGTCTGGCCCCGCCCTGCGCACAGGCCTTGAGATGGGCAGTGAGGGTTCCACGGCCCGACTGGCTCAGGGCCGTCTCTGCGCCCAGGCCCCAGTGCGGTCACTGCCGGGAGTGGACAGGTCTGTGTCTGCGCTGGGCTGGGCGCAGGGCTTCCACCGCGTCCCTTCAATGGCGTCTCCAGCCTTGAAGGGATGCCGTGGGCCCGTGTTAGAGACGAGGATCCAGTGTCCCCTGCCTGAGCACAGGATGAGGACAGGAAGTGGCTGGCCCCTGGCCTGCTGGGCGGTGCCAGGGGAGCCCCAGGCTGGAGCCTCCAGTGGACCTGTGAATGTCACCGTCCTCTGCTGGGACCTCACCTGGGTGGTTGGGGCCTGAGGGATCCTGCTGGCCTCTGCTCGCCTGGCCAGGCTGGGCCTGGGTGTCCCCCTGCAGAGGGCACCCACCCCACCCCCGTTGCTGGTGTGAGAGCTCTCGTCTAGACACCTGACTGAGGACTCCACTTCCTGTCCCCACCACCCCATCACAGGGCCTGCTGCCCTGCGGCTGCGAGGCCCAGCTCTGCCCACACCCAGCTGTTCTGACTGCCTTGCTGTGACTGCATGGGCCCGTGGATACAGCAGTGTGCCCCCACTCAAGCTCCAGCCCCTTTGTCCTGGGGGCATTGGGCTTCTCCTGGGCCCTGGGAAAGGGTCTGCGGGAACACCACGGTCCCCTACGGGGTCTGATAGGACTTCTGGCCAGGGCCCCGAGGACTGGGTGAGGCTGCCCGGGGAGGGGACGTGCAGATCTTGATTGGCCTTCTGCTGGGCCAGGGTGGCTGTGCGGGGGATGTGCACCGGGGACGGTGACGTGGCTCCGTGGCCCAGTGACGCCAGGGCTCCCTCAAGGCGGTGGTCCTGGCAGGGGTGCAGTGGACAAGACATCCAGGGCAGGCGGTGTGGCCTGAGGGTGCTACTGGGGAGGGGCAGGCCTGGTGTGGGGATGGGCCTGGGGTGTTGGGGCTCTCCGCTGACCTTGGGTGAGAGCTCCAGGCCCTTGCCAACTGCCACTTCTTCCAGGAAACCCTCTGGGCTGAGCTCACTCAGCCAGGGTGCCCCCCACCACTGCCCATCTCATCCCCCACGCTGGGAGGTGGTGCTGCAGCCAGGGCAGATGAGCAAACAGGGACCCCGAGGCCCGGGCTCACCCCAGGTCTGGTGGCCAAGCCAGGTTTGAACCCTGGTCGGCAGGGAGGTGACCGCTGTGTGTGCTGGACATCCCAGCATCTTCCCTCCTGGCCAGGGCATAGGGTGCCCTCGTTCTCCTCTCCCAGAGGGGCTCCCCTTCCAGAGGCCCCAGCTCTTTGGGACAGGTTTTATGGATGTTCCCTCACCCTCCTGTCCTGTGGGCTCCAGGTGGGAGGCTCAGTGCCACCACCTCCCGAGGTGCTGCGCCTGCCACCCACTGGCCAGTGAGTCCCCACACCTGGCAGGTCCCTGCACCTGGCAGGTCCCCACACCTGGGTCTCCTCCCATGCCCCCCTCAGCAGCTTTTTATCTGGGGAAGCAGAGCCACGGGGGAATAGGAGGCTCCAGATGGCTTTCTTCCCTCCCGGTTGCTGGGAGGGAGGTTGCTGGGGGGGATGCTAGGCATTTAGGGGGGGTGCGGCCTCACCTCCCTGCCCCCAGGCTTGTTGCCCCCAGGGGTCAGTGCGCAGGAGCTGGGGGGGCTACCTCCCTTCCTGCGGGTGTGGTGCCGCATCTGCTCTTCCAGGGGCCGCAGGAGGTGGCCACGGGGAAACCGAGGCAGGGCGGTCCAGTAACTTTCCCCAGAGCCCCAGGCGTGCCCACAGGAGGTGGTGGCTGAGCCCAGCCACATGCTGTACCCCCACGTGTGGTCTGCACACGCCACCCCTTCCCAGAAGGAGACCAGTAAGGGTCGGAAACTGCAGAACCCGGCAGCCAGGGGGCAAGCGGCGGGTTTCATCCCTTAGCCGGGGGCTCTGCCCCGAGACAGCACAACCGCAGCAGCGGGGGGCGGGGAGGAGGGGGCCGCGGTGGTGGGGGGAGCACCTCGCTGGGTCTCTGCCAGGGTGGGCGGTCAGGGCTTGGTCCTCTGCGCTCCCCGTCACTGAGCCGCCATGGGCTGTGTTTTCAAAGTTGTTCTTTTTCTAAGGAGTTGGGCTGGGGCAGTGGGGGGTGGGGCATGAGGGGAGAGGGGCCAGAGGGGTGAGGGTGGCTGCCCTGGGAGAGGGGCCAGAGGGGTGAGGGTGGCTGCCCTGGGAGAGGGGACAGAGGGGTGAGGGTGGCTGCCCTG